TAACTAGAAATTATCATACTAAGTGAAGTAAGTCAGAAAGAGAAAGACAAATACCATAAATATCACTTATATGTGGACTCTATTGAAAAAGAATGTATATGTATGTACAACTGAATCAGTCCGCAACAAATATCCCACTGGGGCTTCCCTGGTGGCTTCGCAGTAAAGAATCTGCCTGCCTGTGCAGGAGACATGGGTTCGATCCCTAGGTTGGGAAGATCCCCAAGAGTAGGAAATAGCAACCCACTCTATTATTTTTGCCTGGGAAATCCCATGGACAGAGGAGCCTAGTGAGCTTCAGTCCACGGGGGTCACAAAGAGTTGGACACAGCTTAGCAACTAAACAACAACATTCCACTGTATATGTGTACCACATCTTTATCCATTCATCTACTGATGGACATATAGGTTGTTTCTATTTCTTGCCTATTGTGAATAGTGATGCTATGAACATAGGGGTACATGTGTCTTTTCAAATTACAGTTTTGCCTGGATACATGCCCTGGAGTGAGATTGCTGGATCATATGGTGTCTATTTTTAGTTTTGTGGGGCACCTCCATACCGTTTCCCATAGTGGCTGCACCAACTTACATTCCCACCAACAATATCTGAGGGTTCCTTTTTCTCCATGCCCTCTCCAGTGTTTGTTATTTTAGACTTTTTAATGATGGCCATTCTGACCAGTGTGAAGTGATACCCCATTGTCATTATGATGTGCATGTCTCTACTGATTCAGTGTTGAGCATCTTTTCATGTGCCCCTTCGCCATCTGTATGTCGTCTTTGGAGAAATGTCTATGTAGGTCTTCTAGTCAATACATCTTAATACATGAGTTGCCCACCTTCTTCACCCAGAGTCAGACGCTTACTCAGACTCTTTCATCATCACCCACATCCCTCAGGTTGAGCCAGGGAAGGAAGCAGAAGTTTCAGGGAAACTTTGTTTTGAAACTTGAAGCTTTGTTTCACAGAGGAGGAGGAAGCCCAGACTGCGGGGGTGGGGTGGGGTGGCGTGCCCAGCATCCCTTCCCTAGCCCACCTTCCCCCCCCACCCCTCAACCATGTGGTCCCTAACACCAAACCCTGGGGCTGGAGCCCAGTGGGCCTTAAACGGCCCCCCCGGGAGGGAGGCTCAGGCTGCCCGGCTTTCCCAGTTGCCTCTGGGATGGCGGGGCAGCCTGCAGGAAAGCCCCTGCCTCTCTGCCTGTCTCTGCTCTGCCTCTCCCTCAGGCTTCTCCGTGCTTGTGAGGAAACACTTCCCTGGAGCCAGGCCACACCCCGGCCTCCGGTTCCTCTTCCTTCTCCAAGAAGATTCTGGCTTACCCCCTGGCCTGAGAATTCGCCGGACCACAGTCACCCTGGTGCTGTCGTCTCCCCCACCCTACACTCCAGGCCTCACTGGGAAAGCTGGGGAGAGCCTCGCATACCCCCTTGCGCGTCACGGCCCTCACTGACACAGCATCTCAGGGGAGACGGTGGGGACCTGACTTGGCAGGGATCTGAGACTCCCCCGCTCCCTTGGAATTCCTGAGCACTTCCCATGTGTGCTCACTGCTCTGAATGCCTGGAGGTGGGAGCTATTGTTACTGTGAATCACCCTTCTTCACTTTTGACAGAAGGGGAAACTGAGGACTAGGGTGAAGACACGTGCCTGGCACCTGACCGGGGCGCGGTGCAGCTGGACTTGAACCCAGGGGGTTGGGCTCCCAGCTGCGGGCTCTTAACCCCGCCCCACCTCCCCCCCTACCGCCGGTCCCACTTTCAGGGTGAGGGTGGGGGGGAGGGGTCACAATGCAGGACCGGGCAGGGGTGTGTCCACATCGGAGCCGCCTGCCTCGGGCTCAGGCCACGTGCCAGGTGTAGGGACAGGAAAGAAGGAAGAACTGCTGGCCTGGAAAAGAGGAGGAGCAGGTCCTCTAGCCACAGCGCCCTCCCCTGTGACGAACAAGGTGCCCAAGGGGAGCCGGGAGATACCCGTGCTGGACAGTGGCAGCCCTCTCCGGGGACACCAGAGAGTGCTGGGACACCACCAGACAGGGCCCCACCCTGGGAGCAAGTGTCAAGCAGGCCAGCTGAAAAAAGCTGATAAGGGCAGAACAATTCCAGATTTGAAGAATGCCTGGAAGTATCTCCCCGAGGGGTTAGCTCTGAGTCCCTCCCGGAGAGGCAATGCAGAGGAGCTGGGCCTGATAGGCACCAGGGGGTCAGAGCTGTCAGGCCCTGGGAGGGGGACAGGGTGGATGGAGCCTGGCCAGAACTTGTGGGTGCACTTGTGTGCCTGACTGCTTGGCCTGACAGGGACAGTGAGGGTGACCTAAACAGCAGACCTGCCAGTCTCACAGTTCAGGGGGCTGGAAGGTCTGAGATCAGGGTGGCGCCAGGGTGGGTTCCTGGTGAGGACCCTCTTCCTGGCTGGTAGACGGCCACCTTCCGGTGTGGCCTCACGTGGCAGAGACAGAGTAATTTGCGGTGACTTCTCTTCTGTCCTGGGGCCCCAACCCCTAACACCATCACACCGCGGGTAGGGCTTCAACATCCAAGTTGAGGGGGAGAGAGACCTTCAGTCCCAGAACACCCCTTATGCCAGGAAAGTTGACCAGGTTCATCTTTGGGGCCCTCAGTCTAAGCAGGGGCCATCTGGAGGGTACAGAGAAGACTCAAAGATCATTGTCCCCATTTTTCAGATGGGGACCATGGCAGTCTAAAAAAAAAGCCCACCCCTCCCAAAAGATAAGTACATTAGATCCCTGAAACTGATGATCACCTTCTTTCGACAGGGGTCTTTGTTAATGTGACTGATACTAAGCTAAGGATGAGGTCACCCTGGATCATCTGGATGGGCCCTAGATTCAGTGACTCAGAGACATAGCAGGGAAGGAGGCAGCAGCGTGGCCCCGCCCCGGTGGCGGAGATGGGAGCGATGCTGCCGCCCGCGAAGGAGTGCCAACAGCCCCCAGACGCCGGAAGAGGCAAGGAAGGGTTCCCCGTGGAGCCTCCAGGTGGAGCGGAGTCCTGCCCACGCTCGGATCTTACACTTCTGGCCGCCAGAGCCGTGAGGGAATCAGTTCCTTGTAATTCCCCCCATTTTTGTTGCGGCAGCCCGAGCTCACAGGACCCAAGGTCCAGAGAGGGTCCAGGCTCTCGCCCAGGCCCAGTGCGGCCCCGGGAGAGTCCCACAGCCAGCTGGTCGAGGCGAGGCCAGTCCACCTGCCTGTCCCTCCTCCTAGGCTCCCAGCCCAGAGCCCTGACCCCCTTCCCAGCTGTCACAACCCCGAGCTGATGCTGTTCACCCAGGTCAGGCTCCCCCTCCTTCCATGCCCCCCACAAGCATCTGCTTAAGAAGTTTTTGGGGGGATAGCCGACTTTGTTACAGCCACAGAGGACAAGCATTACGGCTCAGGCGGTGAAGAATCTGCCTGCAATGCAGGAGACCTGGGTTCGATCCCTGGTTCAGGGAAGATCCCCTGGAGAAGGGAATGGCTACCCACTCCATTCTGTTTTTGCCTAGAGAATACCATGGACCTGAGGAGCTTGGTGGGCTACAATCCATGGGGTCGCAAAGAGTTGGTCGGACACGAGTGAGACTCATGAGAGACCCAGGGCAGAACACCAGAGCAGGCAGCCTCCAAGGACAGGACTCAGCTGAGGCAGTAGCGGATCCAGAAAGGTCTCCTGGGGGAAGGCCTGGAGCACTCGGCTGTGCGGGAGGGAGGTGGCTGGGGAGGATGGCCAGACCCCCGAGGTGTGGGACTTGAGAAGACCCACCTGGAGTGAGGAGTGTGGCTCAGCTCCTGGAGGGAAGAAGTGCAAGAAGCAGATGTCACAGGCTGGGAAAATGAGTTCCAAGGTCAGGCGGCTGATTCAATAAAAGTCAAGAAGCATGGAGGCAGGAACAGTACATGGTGGCAAGGGAGGGGCCATCAAATCTTTCTCTTTTTTTTCTTTTTTATTTTTTTTCCAAATCTTTCAAAATGAGGGTAAGAGGGAGAGTGAGGGGGCCGAATGCAGGGTGAAGAGAGGACATCTGATCTACTGGCCGTGGGGAAATGTCCCGGCCGGGCAAACTGTGGGTCTGCAGCCCCTCTCAGCTCCTGGGGCAGCCCCAGATCCCTGCTTCACCCGGGAGTTTGGGGGGGGGGGTCTGTGTCCTTCCAAAGCTCCCCTCATCCTGCCCTACTCCCACTGAAATGAATTCCCAGCTGCCACACAGAAGCCTGGCAATAGATGGGCCAGTTCGAGATGGGCAGCAGGATTGGGGTGCTGAGGATGGGGGGCCCTAGAGAGCTGGGCAGGGCTTAGATTCCCACCAGGCTGAACCTGAGGCAGCATCACAGAGCGCCCTCCCCCTGGCATGCACAGAGCCTGCTCCTGGTAGGGAAGGAGGTGGCTCCCGAAGCAGATGTATGTCACTGGCTGGGAGAATGCATTTCAAGGTCAGACAGCTCTTGGAAAGGAGCTGGCCTGTGAAGTGGCTGGTTCCGCTGGCTCCGTTATCACGTCAAAAGCAGCGTCGTGCTTGGGAAAGTGCATATACCTCCTTGGGGGACCTTAGAAGCCACCCAGCCCATTTCACAGATGTTTCAAGAGGGTCAAGGACTTGCCCCCTGCCCTTGGGGCCCAGAGGAGAACCAGGACTAGAGGCTTCCATCTGGCTTCATGCCTTCCTTGATCACATCCTTCCATGTAGACGTTGGTTCATCCTGCCTGGTTTCTGCCCCTTTCACTGCCTCCCCTTGGCCCCCCAAGAAGCTTCTTGGTTTTAACCACACTCAGGAAGGTGAGCTGGAGGAAACAAAAGACGAAGGGGTGGATGCTGGTGTCCAGGCCTGGGTCCTCCCATCTCATGGCCTTCCCTGCACACACCCTCTTCCTGGGGCATTCTTTCGAGCTTCCTTTCCCGCTATTAATAGTGCAGAGTCCATCCCAGATAAGAAAATGGCCAGGAGTGGGAGAAAGCAGGGCCTCAGACTGAGAACAGCATTCCTCTCCTCCCAGGGGAGAGGAGTGGAGTCAGCCTTCTTCTGCTCCTGTTTGGTCTCCCCGCTGGAGGTCAGCGTGTGGAGGAACTGGCTCCTTGCTGGTTCAACCCTTCACACCATCTTCATTCTTAGCTCCTCACTGCTGCTCTCTGCTTACCTCTTCACTCCCCATCACTCATTCCTTCCTTCCTATCTCGATTCCCAGCCTCGTTCTTGGTGAGCTCGGATAAACACGTTCGGATGAACACTTAAGTACCTGGCCTCCCATTTTCTTGACCTTTTTCCATCTCTACTCCACTGGTAGCCCCATTTTACACCCTGAACTTGATCATCCCCACGCTGTGCACCACCTCTACACTTCGTTCTTTGATCACTGTTTCTTTCCCTTCCAGTTCATTTGCTCAGGTAAACCTGGACCACACTGCTTGAACATGAGGCAGCCCCTCTGATGACCCGTGACTTTGTCACTGCCTGTCAGCCCATCTGTTTTATCCACCCTATACGTCACCATCTACCATTATGATCCCAACCTTACGAATATGCTGAGGTCTCCTGCTTCTTCTGCCACCATAACTCACCTAGCAAAACCTCCATTCCCAGGTGAGCCCTGTCTCCTGTTCCTACACCTACCTGCAAACAGTGGAAGGGAGAAAAATCACACAGTGGCTGATTGGGCTATTAGTTTTAAATTCAGGATTTCTAGCCCAATTTGGCACCAGATACCACTTGACAGTCATCCTGTATTTTTCTGGTTAAGTGGTTCTGAAAGTGTGGTCCTCAGACCAACAGCAACAGAGTCATTTGGGAACTTGTTAAAATGCAAACTCTGATGCCCCACCCCAGGTCTGTTGAATCAGAAATTTGGCCTGAGTTCCTAAACAGGTGTGTTCACAAGCTCCCCAGGTGATTCTGATGCTTCCTAGAGTTTGAGCATCATTTTTCTAGTAGGTTACCTTCAGTTCAGTCGTGTCCAACTCTTTGCGACCTCATGGACCACAGCACACCAGGCCTCCCTGTCCATCACTAACTCCCGGAATTGACTCAGATTCATGTCCATTGAGTCAGTGATGCCATCCAACCATCTCATCCTCTATCGTCCCCTTCTCCTCTCGCCTTCAATCTTTCCCAGCATCAGGGTCTTTTCCAATGAGTCAGCTGTTCGTATCAGGTGGCCAAAGTATTGGAGTTTCAGCTTCAGCATCAGTCTTTCATGAATATTTAGGACTGATTTCTTTTATATGGACTGGTTGGATCTGCTTGCAGTCCAAGGGACTCTCAAGAGTCTTCCCCAACCCCACAGTTCAAAAGCATCAATTCTTTGGTGTTCTGCTCCCTTTCCTACCCCAAATGAGTATTTCATACTTTTCCCTTTCACATTACTCCTCCTCCTCTCTTATTTCATCTTTGTCGGTATACTAATTTCCTCTAGACTTCGCTGAGGGAACTGAGGATGTCAAATGAAAATGTGTCTTCCTATTACCAATGTTACCAATGTCCTGATGGCTGTATCCATCTTCTTCCCTCTGGTTTCAAAGGCAGAAGTATCCTACCATCTAATACATGGGTGCCTCCCTCTGCATCTTAAGGAGGGAATAAAACAAAAGGAGCATCCATATCAGCTCTAGCATCTCTCACCTTCAAGGAGAAAAGCAAAACTTTCTTGACTACTGCAGTTCCTTTCTAGCAACTGCCATATTTCTCCACTCCTTTTAATAGCTAACATTTGATAAAGTTCTTGTGCTTCCCAGGTGCCTGCCAGTGTAGGAGATGTAAGAGACTTGGGTTTCATCCCTGGGTCGAGAAGATTCCCTGGAGGAGGGATGGCAACCCACTCCAGTATTCTTGCCTGGACAATTCCATAGACAGAGGAGCCTGGCGGGCTACAGTCCATGTGGTCACAAAGAGTCAGACAGACTGAAGCAACTTAGCACCTTTGTCAGCATGATAAAGTTATTTACACACAGAAGCTCAGTTCCCTACCATTCACTCATCTTCTGTCAGCCCCAGTTAGGGTTCTACCTCCACTGTTCCCATGGAAACTGCAAGTTGAGGCTGCCAGGAACTTCCATGTCGGCAGTTTCATCATCCAGCACCATCAGCCACTCCCTCCTTGGAGGGAAAAAAAATATCAGACATCCCTGTTGCATCTTCCTATTCCCCCCAGAAGTGGCTGTTATCCTAAATTTAGTATTAAGTTCTGTTTATAATGTAAATATTTTCTATGTCTCTATTTCTAAACCTATATTGTTTAATTTTGTAGATTTTAAACCCTGTAAATAAAACCATATAAATTTTTGTTTTGGCTTTTGTTGTTCAGTATAGTTTTTAGATTGATTCATGTTAATACACATATGTGAAAGTCTCTCAGTCGTATCCAACTCTTTGCGACCCCATGGACTGTAGCCTACCAGGCTCCTCCCATGGTATTTTCCAGGCAAGAGTACTGGAGTGGGTTGCCATTTCCTTCTCCAGAGAATCTTCCCCACCCAGGGATTGAACCTGGGTCTCCCACATTGTAGGCAGACACTTAACCATCTGAGCCTCCAGGGAAGTCAATACATGTATAATAATACATAATATGTATATTACACAGATAAACATATATGTAACAATATAATACCTGTCCGTGATTTTCAATGCTGTGTGATATTCTAGCCTATGATTATAACGTAACTTCTGTATCACCAATTTTGACAAGCATTTGCTTGTTACCTATATGGAGCCACATTCCATGGGACACTAAGTGAGTGTGCCACGAAAGATGCCGCATGCCACAGCCAAGACCCGAGCAAATAAATATTTAAAAACATTTTTACAAATATTTAGTTTTAAAATAATTTAGATTTACAGAAGAGCTGCAGAGATGATGCAGAGTGGCAGATAACCTTTCCTTCATCTTCCCCTAATGTTAACATCTTATAAACCATGGTCCTCTTATGAATACTATGAAATTAACACTGTACAGTGCTATCACCTAACCTACAGACTTCATTCCTATTTAACCAGTATGTCTACTCATAATCTTTTTTGTTTCAGAATAGAGCACTGCATTTCATCATCATGTCTCTCTCATCTCTTCCAAACTGTGGCAGTTTCTCAGTCTTTCTTTATATTGTTCACAACCTGGATGGTTTTTAAGAGTACTAGCTGAATATTTCGTAGCATCCCCTTCAATTTGGGTATGTCAGATTTTTTTTTTCTTGGTTAGATTGGGCTATGTATTTTTAGAAGGAAGTACACAGAGGTGAAGGGCCCTTCTCACCACATCTTATCCCAGGACATGACGCCTTATCACTGGTTATGACTTATCACGATGCTAACTTTGATTATTTAGTTAAGACGATGTGTTTACTGGGTTTCTCACTGTAATGTTACTGGTTTTCCCTTTCCATCCTAGGAGAGTCACCAAGACCAGCCCATACTCAGATTTGGACGGGAGAGAATACCTTCCTTCTAGAGGAGGGAAGAGTATCTATCATTTTTTGGAATTCTTCTGTAAGGATGATTTGTTCCTCTTCCCCATCTTCTCCATTTATTTATATATTTAATCATTTATCAGCATGGGTACATGAATGTTTATTTTATTCTTTGGGTTTCAACCCAGTATTTTTTTTTTTTTAACCCAGTATTTTTTTATAAAGATTTTTTAAAAATACTTTTGACTATGCTGGGCTATTCTCTAGTTGCGGCGAGCAAGGGTGTGGGCTTCTCATTGCGGTGGCTTCTCTTGTTGGGGAGCATGGGCTCAAGGGTATGTGGGCTTCTGTAGTTGTGGCTCATGGACTTAGTTGCTCTGCGGCATGTGGGGTCTGCCCGAGTCAGGGATCAGGCTGGTGTCTCCTGCATTGGCAGGTGGGCTCTTTACCACTGAGACCCCAGAGAAGCCATCAGTCCCTTATTTTTTAATTTTGGTGATCAAAGTTTTCCAGGTTTGCCTATTGGGAGCTCTCAGGTTGGTTCCCATGTCTTTTGGACTTGTCCACTATTTTGTTTTTGCTTTTTTTAAAAAAGCACTTCTTTACTTTCTGTTGTTACAAGATGTTCCAGGCTCATCTTGCATTTTATACACTGCTGGTGGGCATGTAATATGGTGCAGCCACTTTGGAAGACAGTTTGGCTGTTCCTCAGAACACTAAATATAGTTACCATGTGACCCAGAAATTCCACTCCTAGGTATATCCCCAAGAGAAATGAAACGTCCACACAAAAACTTGTACACAGGTGTTCAGAGCAGCACTGTTTATAATAGCTAAAAAGTGAAAACAGCTTAAATGTTCATCAGCTGATTAGTGGCAAAACAAAATATGGACTATCCCTACCACGGAATATCATTCGGCAATAAAAATAAAAAACTGACATGTGCCACGATATGGATGAACCTCAAAAACGGGTAAATAAGTGCAAGGAGCCACACATTGTGCAGTTTCCTTTGTGGGTCAGCGGCAACCGCTGCTGAAGCATGGCTTCTCTTGTGCTGTCTTCAGCCTGAGGGTTTGTGTTAATCTTATCAGTGGGGCTGAGTTTTTAACTTTTAAGTTAATGTTGGGGACTTGCCTGGCAGTCCAGCTGTTAAGACTTTGCCTTCCGATGCAGGGGGTGCAGGTTTGATCCCTGGTCGAGCAGCTAAGATCCCACGTTTTAAACCAAAACATAAAGCCATATTGTAACAAATTCAATAAAGACTTAAAAAATGGTGCCCATCAAAAACAAAATGGAAACAAAAAACAAAACAAAAAAGCAAACCCCTAACTTGATGTTGCTCAGGTGAGACCTTGGTCCGCATCCCTGCTTGCCTGTCAGTCTTCTTTCTGCTCCTCCCAGGGAGCCTGACTTTGGCAGCCCCCCTCCAGCTATACTCCACTTATCTTTACTTCACACTTGCTAGCATTTTGAGTTCATAGCAGGGTAGAAGCGTATTCCCAGATGTTTGCAAAGGCACTGGGGCTGGAGGGTGTGGCCTTTGCTGGCGGTCCTGTCTCTTTTCTAGAAATCCTGCTGTACTTAGCACAGATTCCTACCCTCTCCCAGGGGCAAAGAACTTCTTCATTTTACTTGTTCCCTTCCCCAGCTGCAGTGAGTTTCCACCACTTCCTTTAGGCTGTGCTTTTTTACCTTTCTCCTGCAGCTGAATGCTTTTGTCTTCCAGCAGAGAGAGGGGTGATGGATCTGGGCAGCATCTCCTTGGTGTTTCATTGGTGCCTGTTGTTTCCTTCCCCCCGCTGTGGTGGGGTTTCCGCCAGTGGCCTCAGGCCATAGATTTGGTTGATGTCCACTGAAAAGTCAGGCTTTTCTTCCCCCAGGGGATGGGGGCTATGTGGAGTGTCAGTCCTCACTGCTGTTTCTTCCCTGAAGCCAGCCCCACGGGGGAAAGTTTCTCAAGGCTGTCTCTTTGGGCATCTTTACCAGCCCTTGGTGGGGTTCCTGGTGCTGGGGGAGCATCTACAAGTGTGTGAAGCTTTCCATTTCAGCAGTTCTCAGGTTTTCACTTTTACACGAGCCCATGCTTAGCCGTCAGCAATTCATTAAACATTTTAACTTTAATCTTCTTGCCAAATTCTGTCATGTAAGCAAACACTTGAGTCTGGTTTCTCCCTATGGTT